AAGCTTAGACCCTTCAGAGCTGCCCTGAGCTAATCATGAGCACCCAGGCAGTTACTGCAGCTTGGGTGGCCTGCAATAACACATTATTTTGAGGTAATTTTTTTAGAGGGTCAATTATCGGGAAATTTTTAGATATTTAATCTCTTTGCAAAAATAAACAAATTCTCTTATTTTCCTTTACATTTACCCATTTACATTGTCCATTCCTTTACAAAAATGTAGTTTCAAAACAAATAAAAATGAAACTTTTTCCAACCATATTGAGCTAGCATGTACAGTCCTAAGCCATGAGCCATGAAGCTTTTTGAGACTCATTTACTAAGAGTACAATTGTTTAGATTGTAAAATACCTTACTAAATCTTTAATACTGTAAAAATACACTATTCCTTAATGTTACTCCAATCACATACAAACACAAAATTATATTGAAACTCTTTGAAATATTTTCATTATTTTTTTCTCCAGGGATGACATATGTTTCTAATAACTTGCCACTGAGCAAACAGATTTAGCAGGGTAGCAGCATGCTGAGAAAGATAGCAGGATTTTCAATTTTCAGATGAAAGCAGTTCTATTCCCTGGCAGCCCTACTCCTAACCCCTTTAGGCCAGATCAAATTTTATCTGAAGCTAGCGGGTGCCTGTCTTTGATTCAATGGAAGTTGAATCAGGTTTTCCACATACCTGCAGTAAACAATTTGAAGCTTATCAATTAGAATATTTTTAATCAGTACTTATACCAGAGGGAATCTGTAGCAATTAACAGGATTTCTGGCCTTGGTTATTTACATATGCTTAGCTAAAAGACAACCCAGTTTTTACCAGAGAGTAACATCCATCTAAATCAGCAGACTCACAGACTACTTTAGATCATCAAAAGGAAAGTCCTATGTAAATTAGACAAGTCTCCCCTGCACCTAATAGCAACAGATTTTTAAATCTATTACATAAATTTACACAAGGAAAATCTATGGTACTATTTCAGATGAGGATTAGTTTGCAACATACATCTTACCTTTGGCTCCACAGTTTTTGCACAGGAAAGAAAGTATTTTTCATCTTTAGACACTTTTATTCTATGTACAATCCATGACTCAAGAAAAGTCTATGTATGAGAATATTTCTATATTTCATGGACCTCTCAGATAAAAACTTTATCTAGTATTTTCAAACAGATGTGCTTAATGACAGGTGCCATCTAATCAGTCTCACATAGATAGGAAAGTGTTGAGCCCCTAACGACACACTTGCACAGGAATTCTTGTTAAACTAAGGCCACAGGAAGCTTTGCTTCACACTTGATTTAGTCCAACTATTTGAAGATCTAACCCCCAATTTTATTCACATCTTCATGTAATTTCATTTGGACAGCTGTTTTTTCCCTAAACTAACTTTTTAATGCATGAAAACTGACATCAACTATTTCATTAAATTCTTTAAAAATATTGCCTTGCTAAAAATAAAGCTTTTATGATTAACTAACAGGATATACACAAACACATATATGTGAATGTACCAATAAAAGAGACCAAAGTTCTATTACTAGAGGTCTGTATTTGACAAAGATTCTACAAATAAAGCACTGCAGCTGCTTGTATCATGCAAATGGTTTGTGCCACATTTTTGTACAGCTTTTCTGTTCTTTCTGATAAAAATCTTTTCTTTCCTAGGAGAGCTCAGTGTTTTGGATCTGACATTTGTCTAGCAGTTTTATAAAGTAAGAATGAAACTATATTTAGTTCCAGAAAGCCATGGTTTGTAATGCATGCAAAGCTGCAGAAGAATCAGAACTAATCTTAATGAGGAAAACTTTTATCAAGTGTAATTCTATCTGTTCCCACCCAAATGGGACTAATTTGTTCCATTATCTGTAAAAAATACCAGCTATACACTTTAAAGCCTCTGAAGCGTATTTGTTCAAATAATAACGATGCAAATGTACAACCACTCAATCATGCCAGAGGCTGCTCCCCAAGCATCTTCAAATCTTTCATGAAAAGCTGTATCAATCATCACTAAGGTATCTTTCTCTTGCCACAGCCCCAGCCAATAATGTGGACTAGGTGATAGGATGGAAAGAGGAGAATAAGACTGTATTTCTCCACTATACTGCTGCTAAAGTCCAGCAGAAATAAGACTAACACAGCTATCACAGACTGATCCTTCTCATATCCCTGACTGTATTCCTTCATAATGAGGAGCTAAGGAGTCTTTCTTCAAATGAGGCTCCCTGGGAACTGGGGAAGCTAGCTGTTGGTGAGTCAAGGCATCAACCTGAAGGAGCTATTCTGGGAAAATAATTCCTTTTTTTTTTTTGTGAACAATGACTTCAAGATTTGTCTCTGTGGTGTAACCTTACAAAGCTATCTTAGCTTCCACTGTACCTATAGAGGACTTGGAAACACCCGGATCTTCCAAGAAGCACTCAGCATCTTGCAGAATCAGGTGCCTCATTAACAACTAGATAGATCATTACATATTAATAAATTGAATCTATGACCTAGGAAGTTAAAACAGAAAGCACGTTTAACATCAAGCGTAGTAAGATGTATGTAAATGCATGTAAGCAAAGCACGTATGTAACAGCATGTATGCAAAGCAGGCTTACGGGTTCTCTGATTCACTTCCCAAGCAGAATATGGACAGATTACATCAATTTTTCTATGGATAAATGCATATGCCAAATATCCATATGTATTTGTTGTGATGAGTAATCTGATAAATGTTCAAAATGTACAGAGTAAGAATCTGATACTTGGTACTGTCAGAGCACTATATACTCTGTGCTCCATCTATATGCGATAATGAAAAAGAGGATCTTGCTACTTTCATTGTACTGGCCCTATGAAGACTTGTGATGCTCTTATGCCCAATTCTGCTATGACAAACTTCAGCAGAGACAAAAATTTGGTCTTTAAGAATGTATGTCAAGTACCTAAAATATCTAGGAGGGAAAATTCTGAAACATGAACATAGACTTTGTTTTATGTTATGCATCATCTGTTATGCAAATAACATTCACACATCACTAATTCTTAAGTCTAAATATATCAAAATAGAAAATGAGAAATTAATAACAAAACAAGAAGTCAGTTAGAAACTAACTTTCTCTAAAACCAAATGCCAACTTTTTAAAATCAGGTACAATAGTTACCAAGCAATTAGAAATGTAATGCATTTTACAATTGTTTTTATGTAGACTACTTCCTTAACAAGTATATTATTCTTATTTTTCCCTTTGAATGAGGGAAGAACATGGACGGCAGAATGTTGCCCAGATAACTGGGCCATGCACTTCAGATTTAACGGACTTGATCATGGTTTGGGTAAGGTGCTGTAAAAGCATCAAAACGTGCACGGTACAAGGAATTTCATAGAACCACGTTCATTGTATTTCTATAGTCAGGAAAATAATATCCAGCTAGGCTAAAAAAAGATGCACCCAGAGCTACAGAATGGTGGCTACTGCCATCTCAGTTCCAAGGCAGACACTCCTGGCTTACGGTCCTGAGTAAGGGAGGGATGTCCCCGCCTGCCAGAGACGCACACGTGACAATACTTTGTGGAATGACTAGTAAGACATCCAGGAGGGCTTTTTACTTGTTTAACACCTCATAAGAAATGTTCTTAAATCACTTGAGATGCAGAACTCCATACCACTCTATAGAGTTTGGCAAAAATTTTAAATCTCATATTTTACAAAATGGGGCAAAAACAACCAAAAGGTTGGACTCACTCACCTCAGCAGCTGGGGAAGGAACAGCGCTCAGGATTGAGCCAACTAACACACTGCTAATGTTACAATCACTTTTATTTTGCCAATTGCTTCTACCATTTCAAGCCAAGCTGTCAGTGACAGGGTCACTTTTTTAAATCAATGATCAACAACAACAGTTTGATTTCTTCCATCTCGACAGGTCACAGGAATTAGATGGAATTATCAAGGATTTATTCTCTGTCACTGTATCTGAGAAGAAATCAAAAGTTAGATTGATTTCTTTTTTTTTTCTTTCTCATTTTGATTTCTCTGAGCTGATGTCTTCTTTTGAAAAGTAACAGAAAGGAATAAAGGTGGACAGCCGTCTAATAGCTAAGCACGTAAAGACTTCTAAGACGTAACCCATTAATGATCATTGCAGATACATACCTTCCCTAGCAGGCACACTAATAACATTAACATAATAAGCTACTAAGAGCAAAAAAGTTAGATGTTATCACCTCTAAAAACTGGAGATGGATTTCAAATCTTATCTATATGAATCAACACCGATGTTCAGCCAGTATACCACACAGTATCTACACCAATAGATACATAAAAGACAACCCTGAAGACTAGACAAACAGGTGTTTGCCAGGAAACTGAAGTTTTTGATGTAGGTCATGCACCATGTTCCTGCAAAAGCGGTGGTTAGCTGAGGCCTTAGAACTGCCATGGAAGGCAGCAGCTGAGCTGCAGGGTGGGAGATCTTGGGAACATGGAATGGTGACAGCTGTGGGGGACTGACCACGGACAATTTCTTGTGGTCTCCAAAGCCAATACACGCCTCCCCCACCGTAATCTGTTACAAATCCCATCTTGGAGCACACATATGAGAAGTTCCTGGCAGGAATCCTATCTTTACTACATTAATGGCAGTGTGTCGCTGTTCTTCTCCTGAGATTATCTTTCTCAGGACATTTTTCAATTTCTCCCACTTTAGCTGCACGTTCTTCAAAAAGTAGGGAGCAGCCCGGGAGCACATACCCTGGTGTCAGCATGCTACTTCCAGCTTCTTTAACGAGAGAAAACTAAAAGTATCAGACGGAGAACCTTTTTTTTTTTTTTAAATGGACAGAAGAGTGCCACTTTGCACTACCAACCCCAAGGACCAGAAAACCCCAAATCAGACCAGCTGTAGAGAAGACGAGCAGTGGTTTCGCAGAAGGAAAGCTCTGCGCTGTGAAGCAGAAGAGCGCTGCCCAAGAGCGAGCGGAACGGCTCCGGTTCTCCCGGTGTTTACCTTCCCAGTGACCCGGCGCAGCGCCCAGCTGCGGGGACGTCTCTGCGCTTCAACAGGCTGGAAGTTACCCCCGCAGCGCCCACCGGGGGCTCCCCAGGCTCCGCGGCCGCCCCCCGGGCTGCACCG